CGTGGGCTCGCATTTTGGTGGGGTGTTGCATTGGCTGAACTGTTGCATTGGGTGAGCACGGACGGTAGTGTTAGATTCTTCGGGCCTTCTACGATTTATACTTACACCCCTTAAAAGGGCTACCAGGCCCTTGGTCAGCCAAAGCCAGCGTCCTATGGCATTTGTATCCTAGTCTTCGCGGCGATTTCCAATATGCTTTACGCCGGATGCATCGAATGCACGACCCAGCCATTCGAATTGCACCAGGCGAGCCCGTTTTTCTCGATACCGCCGCATGGAAAGACATATGGTCATCGCAATGGAATTGGAGGGTATTCTAGAACCGAGTAGGGTACGATTCGGCTGATCTTAGGTTGTTACCGGGATAAAATTACTTCCGCCTCGTTCATCAGACTTCCTTGCAAACATTGACAAAGTCATCTAGATGCAACATCCATTTCTACTACTGTATGGTGCGCCGCGTAATTATCGGGACAATTTCTACAATACCTGAATCGTGTTCGAAAACCTTTGCAGATCGAGCCTTGTAGCGTGCCACTGGCGCGGCGTCTAAAGCACCCGGTTTTCATTGCCGAAAGATGCGCTAGCACGATCTGCAACATTTCTCCGAAAAGTGGCTTGCCCTGGTGTAGCGCGAACACGATTGACAGCAGCGATTAGGGGGCAGACCATGGTCTAGCGAGGAACAGTTCCACACTTTGATGTCTGAGTAGGACAAAGTCATGTCGCGTGCCTGAGAGTCATTGCTAGTGAGTATTCTAGCAGGAAGCCTAGAATCCAGCGCCCAACCCGAGCCGTCTCTACTCATCAGGCCGACTCCTGAACACTTCCTCTAAAAGTTCCCAGCTGCTCAGATGAAACAAATTTTCTTCACCACTCTTACGCTCTCTTTGGACCTTCTGAAAATAAAGCCGTTTTCGCTTATATGTCAAAATGATCGACCCCGCTGGTCTCCTGCGTGGAACCAATGCCCTGGTTAGTCGTGCGGGCGGTATTCATGTGCCTCCAGAAGTGATTGCTAGTTGGCCGACTCCCAATTACATCTCTCCAGAGGAAAGGACATCGGCTGCCCCAGTATTTCTGTCTATTCTGTTGGTGGTAACGATTCTCGTCTATGGCGCCCGCATGTGGGCACGGCTGACCATGACCAAAAACGCTGGTCTTGATGATGTTCTTATAAGTATATCAATGGTACCATTGATTGGACTATCAATTGCAACAATTCTCGGTATGAGCATTTGTATCAGTCATCTTGTCACAGCTAACACCCATCAAGGTATGAAAATTTATGGCTTCCAATGGCACATGTGGGATCAAACACCGACAACCAAAACCACAACAACATATGTAAGATCAACGATCACTTTTCCGTCCTTTGACAAAGCTCATTGCAACTACTTAGGTCACCATGGCAATCGAACTTACGTACATGATTTCCACAATTCTGATCAAAATATCAATTTTACTCTTCTACCGCCGGCTAACTGGTTCCTCAACTACCAGATTTATATACCTAGTATGGGCATGCATAGCGGCTTGCATTCTATATTTTGCTGCTTTTGTTATCCTTATCTTTTTCACCTGCTCTGTAGCTGTTGGACGAAAAGATTGTGCCGAAGAAGGACCATTTATAGTCTCTGTCACAACTGTTTCAACTGCACAAGACCTGGTTATCTGCCTTCTTCCTGCTCTCCTTATCAGTAATCTTCAGATGCCCAAACGCCAGAAGCTGGCAGTCTGTGGTATCTTTGGCTTAGGTCTTGTGACCACACTCTGTGGTATTATGAGACTGTATTATGCAGTCTATCTTTACTATTGTAAGTACAACCATAAAGCGTTATCGAATCGTTCAACTAATTATTATCTAGTCACCTACGATGCGACATGGTACGCGTATTACGGCTGGATTTGGACCGTACTCGAAACCGACCTAGGCTTGATCTGTGCGTCAGCTCCAGCACTTCGAGTCTTTTTCCGCCACTCCTTAGGTTTAATATCTTCCCACACTGGTGATCCGCGATCTGGGGCCAATAAAACATCTTCTGGTATTTTGTCAAATCGAGCAACCCACTCGGGACCGTTAACGCGGAGTGGTGACAGCAAAGATCCAGAATCTCAAGGAGACGAAATCTACTTGGACAGTATAATCGTCGAGCGGGGTTTGAGCAGCAGAATCCAAGAAAGGGACGATGCAAGCCAGAAGAGTGATTCCAGCACCCGGAATCTTACAACAATAATCCATGGGCCCGTGTCGAAGTCATAGGAACAACATTTTTGCGTCATATATAACAATAACTCTTAATCTAATTCTGCTCTGGATCTACTCTACCCTAATTGAATCGAATCTGATGACTCTATTCGTGGAAACATCAGGGTCTTGTCTATAAGTACATTTACAATCCGAAAATCAAACGCTTTTCCCTTTCGTAACCAAAACCAAAAATTAACCAGCAAAATTCCAGCACTTAGACTGGAAAATGGGAGCGTTGACATTGAATAGTGTCTTGCTGTAGAGGGTTCCAACGTAGGCAATGACATCCATGTTGAAGGTGCTGGCGAACCAGGCGCCGTTGGGGCAAGTAGCGGCGGCGGGTTTAGTGAAGGTAATACCTGAAGTACTGGCATAGGCGAAATCGAGGTCAGCGGAGAAGGCGTTGATGACCTGAGGCTTGACTTCAAATCCGGTGGTCAGGTCAATGACGCCTTTGAAAACGCGAATACCCAGGGCAAGGTTCAAGTCGAGATACGGGTTAAGCTGCAGTGATACCTCGGCGCTGACATCGGAGGAGACAGTGGTCTTGGGCTTCCAACCACTAGTGGAGGACTTATTGGAGTCGAGGAGATCAAGGTGGACCTGTCCATTGACAATCTCGCTCTGGAGACCGAGCGTGGCATTGACAGTACCTGATGCTGCGAACTCGACACCGAGAGCGAATTGCGCGATGGGGCCGACATCGAGAATTCCGGGAATGCTAAAAGCTGAGACGGAAGCAGAAAGTGGCTCATAGTTGTAAAGTTTAGAAGAAAAGGAAGCAGCGACAGTTGTGGATATGTTGAGGTTCACAAGACCGGAGTAGTCGACATCAAGATACATCTTGCTGGGTTTGAACTTGAGGAAGTTGAAACGAAAGCCGCCCTTGATACGAATATTGCTCTCGTACTTGGCTTTATCGACGACAATCTTGAGGTTTTTCGTATCGACAAGGGTACCATTAATCTCGCCGCCAATTGACGACTGGAAGTCGCGCTTGGCAGGAGCCGTGGTAGTATCGAATTCAACAACGGCATCCTCACTTTGCTTGTCCAAAGCAGAGCGCACGGCAGAAGCAGTGGCAGTGAGAGATGCCTCATCGAATTTAAGGGCAGAGACGGTGTAGAAGCCACGCTCGTCGGCAGTGTTGCAGCCGCCGTCAGGAGAGTAAGTGATGATGATGAAGTTAGATTTAGGCCACGCGGTAGAGGCGGCTTTGACAGCAGCGGCATTGCTAAACTTCATGGACACAGCGGCGGAGGTGCACTTGACAGAGGTGATTCCAGCGACTTCTTCTAACGCGACGGCAGGCTGCTTCATGGCAACGTCAACTAAGGCCGCCATGCCCGCAGCAGCATATCCGAGGATAATTTTCTTAGCCGGCACCAGAGCTTCCTGTCTGGCCTGAAGACTGGTGGCGAGACCGGTCTTAAGCACCTGAGGACGCGGGATGGGCTTCAATATAACTGGAGTTCCAGTCTTGCCATCTGTTTGTCGTGCTTCGAGATCTAGGAGGTGACCGGGCTGGACTCCAGGCCTGTGAATAGGCTTTAGGATTGTAGGGGACGCTTGACTTGGCGCCTGTCGCACATCGGCACTGTTCGAAAGAGACGTCCTGAATTCATCGAGCTGCTGGACAGGACGAAGGGCAGCGTTGTTATCATTACTGGGCAGCACTGCAGCGCTGGTGAACCCAATGAGAGCGGTGATTAAGCATGGCAAAGAAGTGAGGGTCTTCATGACTGCTGTAAGATGATAGTACTTGAGTGAGAGGCAAGCAGAACGGAGCTGCAACGATAATCAACAGAAGCGAACGACTGTGATTATGAAAACAAAAAGAAGGTGTTGAAGAAAAGACCGGATGTGGTGGGGTGAGGAGAAAACATTGAGGTGTGGAAAAAGCGAGAACTTTATAACATGCATTGTGATGTCCTTCTGGAGGGGTTGAGTCGTGCATTGAGCTGAATACCAAGCGTTGTTATCGCGATGCCAACTATTAGGTAGTATTTGGTAGGATTTGAGGGAGCTCATTGATTCTTGGCTCATGTAACCCTTTGCATTGAGGTGTGAATACGAATGGAAAGATGGATTTAGCTACGAATCGAGCAGATCCCTGTCGGCCGTATTTATGCCTTGGCTTGATACGTGCCATGCGATGTCAGTTCCTGACAGGGATTATTACACTGTGTTGAACACCCGCAAAACAGCAAGTTCTGCCGAACTACCCGCTGAGCAGCGTTTCTTTTCCGACTTCAAGTGTGTGAAAATTTTTAATATATACTGAGTACATATTCGCTTGCTTGATCCTCACTTGCCCCTGAAGTCGACATAAAGAAACTCCTATACACAGTAGAAGCCAGCGGTTGACTACGGCATTGATAGCAGTCCTATCACCTGGTTTTCCAACCTCGAATGGTCTTCCTGAGTATTTCAAGTTTTCACCTTGCATGGATAGCTAAATTTGGTTTTCGCAGCTCAAGTCGAGCTGGGTGATTATCGCAACCCTCTCCCAAGCCACTCCGCATGGGATCCTTTACCCAAAGATTGAATGAAGGAAACTGTAGCTAATTTAAAATCTAAAACCCTAGCGTCTAAATGACACCAGCCGGCAAAATGCGCGCGCCTGAGTAATGCACACTTGGAACGCCAAGGTTAACGCTGCAATTATGGTTATACAGCTATGTACAATAGCTAGGAACAAGAGGTTATTGGAAGTAAGCTTTAGAGACTTTCAATAGACCAAAATAGTATATGAAGGTATCTACGGCGATTTGGGACGATAGTAGTTTCGGAAGGTACCGATACCAACTAGTCTGGCCTTGCCCTCCCACACTAGTCATGACCAATCGCCGTCCAGGAAATCCGCGATAACCTTGCCTTCTGCAATGTCTTTGTGAATTTCTTCAATTGTCCAAGGCTTAAATACATGGCCGGCCGGGATGTTAGTATTCCTGAAGGATCGGCCTTCCAGCACGTGGGCCTGAGCCTGGCTGAACTTGTCGTCGACGTATGTCTCCACATCATGTCGAAAGACCCACTTCGGAAACTTGAGCCGAATCTGTTTTGGATCCTTTCGGATGTTTTCCCAATTGGTTGCGCCCATGAGCTGAGAGTTCACGAATGCCATCTTCTGGACGCAGCTAGCGCGCTCATAGCGCAGCAAGTTATAGACACGTGCACCCAAGGGCCCGCCTCTAGAGGCGTTATTGGTACAAGCATGTCTTAGGCAAGCCGCGAGGGTTACAGCGTCTTCAATCGCCAAGGTACCTCCGCTGACCGAGGATGGGACAGTGGTATGCGCTGCATCTCCAACCTGCACCACTCTTCCACTCTTTGATGTCCACTCAGGGCGCAAATTGCGCCAGAGTAAGGGCCAGTGGGTTATTGAACCTTCAGGAGTCGAACTGACAAGACCTTGAATAGCGGGATGCCAGTCTGGGACGCGGTTCAGCACAGCTAATACCTCCTGCGAGCTGACATCTGGATCCCAAGATTCCTTTGGCTCACTGCCGCCTGGTAACAAGAACTGGTCCCGAGGCGTCAACCCCCAGGCAACAAGATCTGGCGAAATCAGGATGCCAATGTGCATTCCTGGTCCCAGCCAGTACTCTTGCGAAGTGTCCTTTTTGGCGCGCTCGCCCCACTGCTTTCGGAAGGCGTCATTGCGCATCGCCAATTCGGTTGGAAACGCTGTGCGGTATACCGACATGCCACTTGAGCGTGTGGGCAGACGCTTGTCGGCGATGAGAAGTTCAGAATTCGAGTGGTGGCCATCGGCCGCGATGACCAAATCGGCGACATATTGCACTCCGTCCTGTGTGAGCACACCACCCACCCCGATCGAGTCATTTTCGAAATACTTCTCAGCACGCTGGCCGTACTGAACCTCGAGGCCTATTCGAGCGACTTGCCGAAGAAGCATCTCATGGAACTTCCGTCGTATCTGGAACGGTGCCACGAAAGGCAGGCCTCGACGCTCTTCCAGATACTCCGGGTCGTTGTATATCGGCACTGAGGGGCCTAAGATCAACTCACCGTAATGCCTGCGGTAATATGTCTCGCTGTCGCGGCTGTCTTCTGCCAGCTCCTTGCACATTTGTGGCCAATGCCGCAGTGTCCTTATGGCTGATGGTCCGAAGATAATGATGTCGCCTGGTCAATGGATACTGGTCAGGCCTCCACGTTTGTGCCATGAGTTATAAATGCGAAAATACTCACCCGCAAACACGGGATTCTCGCTTCGTTCCAATATACCTACGACTTCATGACCATTACGCCAACACTCTAACGCAGACATCAGCCCCCCCGTACCAGCTCCTACCACGAGTACCTTGAGGCCAGTGACTGGCAATCGTTTCGGCAAATCGACAGGACTCGCTTGCCATCTTTCGGGATCGTAGTCATGGCGGTCACCGTTGCGCAGGAAAGACTGCCCTTTCACGACCTCTGCAAGAGAACCCATTTTCAATTTATCTATCGTAAGAACAAAACCAGCGCGATTGATCAGCTTCCTGAAACCTACATACTTCAGCAATTGCGCCGAATTTAGTATGATCCAACGGGCACCGAGTCGCCACACGTAGCGATGCGAGAGCCAGATGATAAGACAGATTGCATATCAAATGTGTAACAGAACGGTGCTCGGTGAGTTCCTAGGGCCGCTGCTTTCGTTGCCCGTCATTGCGCCTGGGTTGGGGCAATACGGTATATTCCACGGCGAATATCTTGGCGCTCGGCATATTTCTAGAACACCACGTCGAGGCCCGGGTCCGGGACGCAAACAGCTATGAGTGCAATTAGCATGACTTCGACTTGACCAATTGTCTCGATACGGTGCTGCCCAAGTCATCGGGCAAGCTACGCGAATCTTCTTGGCAGTCTGACAGCACTGTCGCGGCAATCAACGGGAGCACACCATGAGTGAATAGGCAGTGCCGTGACAAGTCGCTTGTGCATGTCAAGCGATTTTGTCTACAGCGGTCCTCACACAAAAAAGATTGCACACGTTTCTTGTAAGAGTTGGCAGGCAGCAAGAACAGGTAGGTTGATAGAAAAGAAGAATTTAGCTAAGGTGGAGGAGTAGGGTGCCTTGTATAGTAGTCCTGCCAAGGCGCTTCCAAGCGCTTCTTCAAGCACCTATACAACTACTAGCTCAAAATCCAGATGCCAACTAGTCATCCGAGAGATTCTTAGCTACTAACCCTTGGGTATTTAGCCTGATCTTAAACAGAATAGGCCCTGGCAGTTTCAAATTGAACAGCATCTTCTTGGAAAGCATGGATCTTGATACAATTTGATTTACGAGCGTTGGGGTAGGCTAGCTAGAAAGACTGACCAAACAAGGATATGTAGCTAAATTATCTTTCATGCTGCCTGCTTGATGTTCCGGTCCAGTCCACTCATATCAACCGCAGCACTGACGACGGGCTGGTCAGCAGTGGCCGGTTGGGCCGCATGGTTGACGAAGCCAAGATCGCCACGCACAAGTCTGGCTGAAAACCCATCAATCACCTCACCAGTGAAGTGGGTGAGATTTAGCTCGTCTTTCTCGTGTGCAAACGTCCGCTTAGTGATTCGGTCGAGGATGGAAACCTCTTCCGTTGTCAGCTTCTCGAGCATCTCCGGTCTGTTCTCTGCCTCTCTAATCTTCTTCACTACCGCATCCTCTGCCGCAGAAGACACATTCATGGACTCTAGCCCAAAGTTGATTGACTTAGCTGTTCGCTTTTGGACGTCAGCATCCTCCGTATTTGTGTCAGCGATGCCTTGAATGACCGGCTGTATGGTCTTGAACGCCATATCGAAACCTTCTTCCTGCTCGGAAGTAATGAGTGCTGCTTCTTTCATCCTCAATTGCCGGAGAACCGTCATGACAAGCAGCAGAAAACGGGTGTAACCTTCCGAGACCTTGGTAGCATGCCACTTGGCAGCTTGCTCTTCTCCAGCCTGTCCACGGCGGACGGCTTGGATTGTGACCGCCGCTGAGAGACCGGACGTCAGAGCGAGGTGTACTCCAGAGGAGAAGTACGGATCGACAAAGCAGCCAGCGTCTCCCACGATCCTGAAACCCGGACCAGCATACGCAGAAGCGCTGTAGGACCAGTCCGAAGCCTGCTTCATCTCACTGACTATCTCAGCATTTGCAACCATAGAGTTGATCTGCGGCGCAAGCTTGAGATATTCCTTGTAGAAGGAGAGCCCATCCAGACCGGATGCCTTCTTTTTGGCGAAAAAGAGCTCTTGATAGACAACGATACCGCAGGAGAGCGTATCGTTGTGCAGTGGGATCGCCCACACCCATCCGCTCCCATCTGTCGCAATGCTGTCAGTGACGTCGCCTAGCAAGGTCTGGCAACCTCATACCTGACAAAGCCTCGAAGAATGGCGAATTCTCGGTCTCACTGCCCGCGTTGTATTTGGTAGCACCCTTCCAATAAGTCCAATTCGCGATATTTTTCAGCCCTTGATTGAATCGGCGGTTCTTAAGGTATCTAGAAACGATAGTCAGCCTTTGACAACATGATTCTCCCGCAGAGATGAAAATGCCCATACTTGGTAGAAATAATGCCGTTGCGACCGCTGGCATCAATGACATGTCCAAATTGAATTGTGCCAGTCTCGCCAGTCTTGCGACTCCAGGTTGCAGTAGTTGGACGCCCAGGGTTGGCAAGGTGGTTCTCGGCACTGAATTCGCCGTCTGAGTATGATTCAAAAGTAAGAGACTCTACTTTAGTCCCATCGAAAGTTTTAGCGCCACTCTCGCCAGCGTGTTTGAAGATTAGCTCATCCGATTCTGATCGGACGACGTTCCATGAGAAACCGCCAGGGCCAAGCGCAGCGGCAAAGTCGGTGTCTGCAAAGATCGTCAGGAGCTATACATGCGGAACAATGGCCAATGGCTCGCAGCAGAGCACATACAAGCTGCCTTCTTCTCCGTAATCTTGAAGGTTGCACCAAACTAATCTTGATGTCAGACATGTATGTCATAAGATAGCAGCAGCTGCTGAAGTATACCTTCTTCTGGAACCCGTGAGCATCAAATGTCTTCTCTAGGTCGATAAATCGTAGGAAGAAACGCATAGATGCGAGCATGCTCTCGCCAACATGGTATCTGCGAATTAGGTTAACTTCCAGCCAAACAACGCATGAAAACCGCCACTTCAGCAAGCGCACCTTGGAAATTTGTCGCTTTCAAGCAGTACGACATCTACTCCCTCCCGAGCTAGCACAGAAGCTGCATAGGAACCAGCCGGCCCACCTCCAATGACGAGGACATCAGTCTTTTCTGGGATGGACATTGTAGAATCTCTTTTTCAGTATGTAAGTACGATAACTGATCTGTAGAACGAAGGCAAGCAATTGAGTAAACCTGGGGTTATACATACATAGATTCACTGCATGCCATTACCTTCTGAGTAGACAGATAATAGAGACTAGGCCATTCTTGACGTCCAGGATGACGATCCTTGTCAAGTGATCCTTTGGCGTTGCGTCAGCCGGTGTATTGTGCGGTACCGATCAGGCCGGGCCTTTGTCAAGCTTGCCTCTGCCACGGACTTCGCGCTTTTCGCGTATCCATGGCCAATGGAAAATTCTGCTTGCAGGAAAGCGCGCCCACCGGGTTGTGTGCATTCACAGCGGTATCCGTCGCGGTCCTCGGACATCATAGACGCAGACGTGCGTATGCCACAGATTTGTAAGAGCAACCAACGGCCGGGCTGCAGCGAAAGAGGTCTCTTCCAAGCCCGACCTCATCAATCAATCCCGACAGTACCGTGATATTTCACCCTGATTTCCTCAAACTACAGCGAAACATCGAAAGCAGAATTTTATGATGTAACAGATGTCCCACGTGACAGAGCTATACGGACATTCTGCCTAAGTTATTTGATAGGACTGACAAATATTTGAAAGATCTTCCAGAGGGATATAGATATCTGGTGGATAGGGATTTCATTCAAAATAGAGAACTAGACTAATATCAATCATCCATGGATTGACCTGATACTGAACTGTAGATAGACAACGGTCATGTGATTGATAAGTCCATATTGTTATATCATTCTCGAAGATCTTAACATCAACATTCCCAAAATCACTCTAGACACACTAATTTATGAGCGAGATCATAACTGTGTATTTTGGTTGAGTTTGGGGCAGCCAATCTACGATATGCCATGATGAATGTTTTCGCTACCAAGAGAGTAATAAACAAGGGGAGAAACATGTAGCGAAAGAATCGATGAGATTATACCCTATCAACGCGCCCAAAACATAAGAAGCAGGACTTGTGAAACACTCAATAGACTGAGACTGATTAGCTGTAGTACTCGTTCAGCCATGCCCTCAGGTCGCCAAGGGTCGGATATTCGAGAAACAGGCTGCCATTCACAGTGACACCAAGCTGTTTGCGAAGCTTCTCTGCGATGACCAGACTCATCAGGCTGTCGACTCCGAGGTTCTCGAATCTAGCATCGTCACTGAGATCGGATTCGTCGAGCTGAGCTTCAGCAGCGAGAAGTGCGATGGCTTTAGACGTCACACTGTCAGCATTTACAGCCACAGCTTGTGCCTTTGCAGGAGGTTCTTTGTGGTCGGAAGTCTTGGTCACGGACACAGGCGCTGCATCGACTGACTGCTTGACAGTGGTAGAAACGGGGGTTGACATGGCGGGAGCTGGCTTATTAGACGTTCTTTCGGCAAGTGGAACAGCAACCTTATTCGAGAATTTGGTGTGAGACCCATCGCCAGCGACCTCTGGCGCGGAGAAGAAGCGGTCCAAGAGTACACGTGGGTATCTCTTAAATTTGATGCCGCCACACATGCCGATGATGATGCCCGCTCGAAGCACGTATACATCTCCCAAATAAACTGTAGGATCCTCAGGTGTTTGAATCATCTTGACGTACGACTGATAGTGACCGCCTGCGACCAGCGGCTCAGCGAAGCGAAGGCTATCCCAACCCGGAGTGACGTGGAAATTGCCACGGCAGTCATTGACATCTGACACGTTCATGATGAAGCCAGCCAAATGCGCAACGCTGTCGATGAAATAAGGCGGCACAGTCCATGTCCCGCTGTTCTCTGCCGTGAGACAGACCTCGGCCACGGCTTCCAGGCCATGCAGAATGACAGACTGCATGCCGCGGTATTTGTCAGCGTAGTTGACTAAATTGGCCGCAAAGAGCGTGTATGCCATGCTACGCGACAGACGGTTCGCAGCGCCAGTTGCCGCGAGATGTTCCAAAGTATCAATGCGACCTTGCACAAGGTGGAGTAGAGGTCTCCACTCAGACAGCCAGCTGTCGGCAGGACCGAATAGAATGTTCGCCGTTGCGAAAGGCTCGTCTACCACCCCTATCGCAGAGACGTTACTCCAGGTCAGGTCTGCGATGCGATCGTCGACATTTTTGATCGTGATGGAGACTTGTATGATCTGCGGAACAGTAGTGTTCTTCTGCGCTACGAGCCCTTTCGCTACGTGAAGGTTGGCTACATTCATGTCGCTTGGTGTTTCACCAGGTCTGATTTTCTTGAAGAGGTACTTGCCCAGCGTAAAAGCAATATCAGCGTGAATAGACTATCTTATGTGTCAGTGCAGTCCCTCTTGCGGCTATGATTGCTGTATTGTCTTACCGAAGTAACCACACCACAGTCGTTCATCTGATGGCCCCATGCGGCTGCCAGGAAATCAGGCTGCATCAGATCAGATTGCATGACGACCTTGCCACCTGTAGTGGAGTAGGTCTCATGTGTTATCCTCTGAACCGTCGAAGTGATGAACCCGCTATTCATTCCCATGGGAGCTGTTCCAGCATCTCCCTGGGCCGCCTTCTCTGCGTCATAATAGGTGTTACCCTTTGTCAAGTTCCAGTTCCCATTATACATCAGCCAGTGGTTCTTGTCATTCCATGCATAGGTCGGCAAGTCCAGCAGGCGCACAGATTCCTGATGCGGACGATGGAATTCGTTCCAATCCAGGTTGACGCCAGCACAATAAAGGGTACTTAGGCTTGATGCGACGGTCTGCCAATTGTTCTCTCCCCGGCGCAATGTCGGTGCAGTAGTGATGCCCGGTCCCATGATGGACTGTACGAAAGCAGTGCAAACAGGGTGAGGCCCAATCTCGACCCAGATCATACTTTCGTCAATCGTCCCAATTTCTAAAGCAGAGTGGATGGCGCCCAGGAAATTTACTGTCTCTCGGGTTCCACGGCGAAGGTATTCGCCGTTGATGGTTTTCTCGTCGAACACCACGCCACCAAGAAGTGGGGAAATGATGGGTATAGTCGGTGACTGGAAGATCACACCGCGTTTGGCCATCCCCTCGAATTCATCCAGAATTGGGTCAGTCTGTGAGGAGTGGAAGGCAAAGGCGACGTCAAGATCAAAGCACTTGAATCCTGCGTGGACGAGTTTAGCCTTTAAAGCATCGATGTCCCCTACGCTACCACTGAGTACCGTGTCACGTGGTCCGTTGACACACGCAATTTCGTATGGTGCGGTCTTTGCTACTTCGGAAATCTCATCTGTGGCGGCGCGTACAGCAAGCATCTTGTGACTGCCGATGCGGCATTGAGATTCTAGCATCGCGGCTCGGTGACCCACGAGAAAAATGGCATCAGCCGCCGTCAGCACGCCAGCAACATGAAGAGCTGCGTATTCACCAAGGCTATGTCCTACTACAACGTCCGGCTCCACTCCCAGCGTCTTGTAGAACCTGGTTAGCGCGATCTCCACACAAAGCAGGGCAAGTTGTGTCTTGACAGGGGAATGTGCCGAATCAGACGCGTGGCTCCCATCAATAACTGGGAGAAATGAGGGAAAGCCATGAGCTTGGGCGATTCCGTTCAGGTTCGATATTTGTGTGCGAAACTCGCTATTATGGTGGTACAGCTCAAGATTGAAAGATTTGTGCGATGCTCCCTGTCCAGTGAATGCAAAAACGACCGGAGGTGGGCCCATGGCTGCCACAGGCTTATGCACATCAACCGCTGATTGGAATTTGTTCAGTTGTTGTTTGAGTTTATCCACATTTGATGCTGCGATAGCCAGTCGATAGTTGTAATGGTGGCGACGAGCAGTTGTCGTATATGCGAGACTGGCCAGCTCAACCTCTCTGGTTCCATCCAGGTAAGCAAGAAGACGCTCAACGTTGCCTTTTAGGGAGGCTTTGCTCTTTGCTGAGACAGTGATAACATGGGTGTTTCGAGGGTCAGCTGTTTTAGTCTGGGGTGTTGGAGCTTCTTCGATTAGCACTGCCGAGTTACCGCCCGCCGCACTGAAATTGTTGACAACCGCGATCCGCTTTCGTTCAGTTGATCGCTGCCATGGTGTTGCTTCGAGTGGGATACGCAGATTTCTCTTGGCCAAGTCTATGGGGAAGGCAGGATTGAGCGAGTGCTTGATGCCCACATGCCTGGGGATAGATTCGTGTTCGAACATCAGCAGCACTTTAAGAAGCGCGGTGATACCGGCAGCCGCTTCACCATGACCAACATTCGATTTGACCGCACCTATATGAAGCGGCTGGTGTGCAGCACGGCGCCGAGCAGATGGAGCAAAGACGTCAGCGACGGATTGGATCTCCTGCATGTCCCCAGCTTGGGTACCAGTGCCATGCATCTCAACATAACTGACCTATGTTCGCCGAACATGATTAGCATAGTTTCGCCATCGGGTATCACCACAAGCCATGACTTACATCGAGTGGATCTACGCCGGCTTGGCGCATGATCTGAGAAGTGAGGTCCGCTTGTGCACTTGCCAATGGATGTGTGATGGAAACAGCATCTGCTGAGTGGTTGGTGCCGGCACCGAGAATGACACCGAGGATATTGTCGTTGTCAGCCTGCGCATCCTCGAGTCGTTTGATAACGACAGATCCCACACCGTCTGCACGGCAGTAGCCATCTGCCTCGCTATCCCATGTCTTGCACGCGTTCGGAGTCTTGGAGAGGAAATGGCCGTTGCTAAGCCCAGCGAAAGCGTCAGAATTTGTCAATACGTTCATACCGCCAACGACCGCACAATCGGTATCCCTGCTCCAAAGGGAGGTGCAAGCCATCTGTTTCTGCGGTTAGCAATCCGTCTCATACGTCATGGCGTCTTCAGACTAACCTGCAAAGTTGCCAGTGAAGACGAGCATGCGGTGTCTATCGAGTAGCTTGGACCGGAAAACTTGAAAAAGTAATTGATACGACCCGGTCCAAAAGCTCGACAACCTCCTGTGATAAAGTAGGTACTGATCTCTTGATTGGAGTTAACTTCGCGATAGTCATCGCTGGCTTGTCCATAGAATGTCCCAGTACGTGAGCGATGTGAAGCCGGAGTCCTGTCGGCGACATGGCCGGCTCGCTCTAGTGCCTCGTATGCTGTGACTAACGCAAGACGCTGCATGGGATCCGTTTGCTGTGCTTCCCGCGGTGACATGTTGAAGAAAGCGGCATCGAAGAGGCCGGGTTCATCTATGAAGCAGCCATAGGGTGTCCAACTAGCATTCATGCGCTGATTTTGCGGGTCGAAGTGCGTGTCGACATTAAAACGATCGGCAGGAATCACACGATGCACATCCAGACCATCCTCCAAGATCCTCCAGAATTTCTCGGTGTCGGTAGCACCAGATGGCATTCGGCAAGCCATACCCACAATCGCCAGCTTGGATTGAGCCCTGCCTCGGGGGGGATTGAGACGGTGGTCCGGCCTGCCGATCCACTGGGTCATATCTTCAGTCTCCGTCTTACAATTTGGAAGATTTGATTCAAGAGCTACGCCCAGGTCACGCGTAGGCAGTGAAGGCCTAGCGACTAAGATCTGACATCTTGAAGCGCTTAAACTTAAGCCAAGATCAACCATACCTTGAACCACTTGATCCCATTTTATGACGGAGGTGAGAATCTCCTGGATCACACTGCTAAAGAGCGCGCGGGACGTGTCTGCTTCGAACGGCCTGCCGGTGTTGGTCGAGAACAGAATCCCACCTGGCGCCGCCGCCAAATCGTCAAAAGTCGCCGTTCGAGTGACGGCTTCCACATATTGAAAGCCGTAGATATGCTGGGCATGACACAGCCCACTGTAGACAGGTAGAGGCACCAGCCTGAGGTCACGGAAAAAGTCACAGTGACTGGAGAGGTGCTTTAGGCGACCAGGCGGCCCACTGATGGTGACAAAGTTCCGGCCAAAAGCGCTGATGAAAATTTGGCTGGGTAGCGAGATTGCCTGAGCGTGATGGAAGGCATCAAGCTCAGCTTGTACGTTCTCGACGGTGACTTCAGGCACCACATACGCCCAGCTTTCTGGAGCGCCGCCTTGGTCATCTGGCGATGGGGAGTGAAGATTACGGGAGACTTCGCCGACCACGATACCTAGTCGGAACGCGAGCCGGACTGCTTCTCGCCCGGCGGAGACGAAATTCTCTAGCGAAGATGCCGATGCAGCTGCCGCAGCAACTAACAATCCAATGCCCAGGCCCGCGAAGCAGGTGTTTCCAGCATCGTGTATGCGATTGGCGGAGTTACTATCTCTATAGAACCTGCAGTGTTGCATCAGCAAACTATCAGACGGATAAGGACAGTGGGAACTCATACCCGATAGCACTTGCCAGCTGGAATGCGCATAAGAGAACACCATCGACGGATGCGCCCAGCGGGCCAGCACGCAGTTCAGAATTGCTTGAAAGGTCGAGAACACTCTCGTATGGTGGTACCAAAGACTTAAGTGCCGTTGGTAATTGCAAAACCTCATCTCGTAGAACCTGAGTCGCCTCATATATGAAGCGCGCTACCAGGCCATGGTGCTGATCCTTAGTATGGACGTGAAGTTGACGCATCAAGTGCTGAAGATCATCGTGTGGAAGCTCGTTGCCGAAGCAGATAATGCGTAGCATCGATGACTCTTCCATAGAGGAGTCTGTTGTGGGCGTCAGGTTCTGACGGGGAGGATCCAGCCAAGACATCCTGGACGTGCGGATCTTGTATTGTAGACGAAAGGGGCGGCAGGAAGACGATCAAGTACGACGAGGGACTGGCATAAAAATAAATAGGTTCAAGACCGGATGGAGAGCCTTCATGCTCTGTATCTCGCCCACTCTTACGTGCTAAGGCATTGCTTGAGGCCGGCACGACCATGTCGGCCCTCCAAGAACGGCCGATTGTCTTTCTCAGTGACCCGGCGTCTATGCTGATTCTCATTGTTTACCATCTGAGTGCCGAGATTGCCGAACCCAGACTAATAGAAATCCGACGTACCTACGCGGGCAATATCTGCGTGCTGCTTATGCCAGCGATAAATGCCCGTTATTTAAGTTCAGCGTCTGCAATCACAAATATCACAGTAACACATCCAACATGGCACCTGGAGAAGGAGGATACCGACAAATCAACAAAGCACTCAACATCTGCGCTTTCGAAGATTATCTACATGGCCAACAAAAAGGTCTTCCAAAGCTGGAGGACGTCGAGCAACTGACTCCGAGAGTGCTTCGTATACTTGGCCATAATCCTGGCAAGGTTTATCATCCAATCGTCGTTTTTGCACGAGTAACCACCTAACCTTATTCCAGTTTACACTGCAAGGGACAAACACATTCATCATTGGCACGGGCAAGGAGCGTCTCATCATCGATACTGGTCAGGGAATTCCTGACTGGGCTGACCTTATCGCATCCACTCTTGCTTCTTCGGGCATTAAGCTCACAGGAGTACTACTTACTCACTGGCATGGCGACCATACCGGTGGCGTACCAGACCTGCTTCGACTATACCCAGAGCTGGGAGGCTCTATCTACAAGAATTTGCCTAGCAAAACGCAACAACCTATATATGACGGCCAATTGTTTCAGGTAGAGGGTGCAACGATCCGTGCGGTACACACACCGGGTCATTCCGACGATCACATGTGCTTCGTACTGGAGGAAGAACAAGCGCTGTAAGTACTTGATTCGATGGATTTGATGCTGTTAAAGAATACGTCTACTGCTAGGCCGCAGCATGCGGTCAGAACAGACTGCTGCCACTGTGACTGCATCTCTCTTACTTCTTAAGCCTCTACGATCCACATACTCATTCTAGTTTTTAGATTTACAGGAGATAACGTCCTTGGGCTGGGCACCGCGGCTATAGAACATCTCGGGACATTTATACAGAGCCTCAAAAAGATGCGCTCACTCAACTGCACCAAAGGTTATCCGGCTCACGGCGTAACGATTGAGGATTTACACGCCAAAATCTCTCTTGAGCTCCGGCAAAAAGACCGGCGGGAGAAGCAAATATTACAAACATTGGGACACTTCAGATCGTCGGCCAGACTTGCAGAAGGGCGCAGCAAGGGCAGCGTCACCGTCCAGCAGCTGGTCACCGCAATGCACGGCGCAGACGTGGATAATGAGGTTCGAACACTGGCACTAGAACCTTTTGCCGAGGAAGCTCTGCGGAAGCTGGCTGAGGACAGGCGTGTTGCTTTTGAGAGACGCGGCGGAGTGAAGCGATGGTTTGTTTTGGGCACAGCTGCCTGAGTCCATCAAAAGCTGGTAAGGGGGTGATGCTACTTCATTGCTTCCTAGTAGGGCCCAATCATCGAAGCCCGGTCTATGGCATTGTATAAAGTAGATATTGTACTTGAGAAATATACTCAATCGTTCCGCTTCTAGAAAAGATCATTCAGTGATTGGCTATGAATTTGATCGGGCCGCGCCCTGGCGGATCAAGGCCCCATATCATCTCTCTGCAATCCGACGTCGTCCCTCTACAAGTGCAGACCCGGAGGCCCCCTAGATGGTTAAGATGATGCTAATTCAAGATTTCCACGACTCACCCCAGTATATCAACGAATACTAGATTATGGATTATCTTGGGGTTTCTAGAATGATTTACGCAGCCGAAGCCGTAAATCCCTGATTAAGACGCCGAAACATCCTAGAAAGGAACCCCATGGCCACCTATACACACCCTCCTATTTCCCTAAATCCTCATGTAATACACTAGCAAGAATATACAAAATCTCTTTTCTTTTCCATATCTCTTTTTTTGACAGAGTTAGTAGGCCTGAAACTCTCATTTTATATTAAGATTTTGTGTCTTACCTATAGGAGCCCGCGGGCAAGAAAACAAAGGCGAAGATTGTAGAAATCGGTCAAGCCTCCCCGATGGGATGGAGAGCTAAAGCGAAACAGATCTATGGCTAGTGCGTGCTGGGAGTATCACATACTGAGGAGCGTGAAAAGGTCCGTAGCGTAGAAAGGCTCCTCATACCCCAGGGGAGGCGGGAGGCCTAATCTCATTCCATAGTGGATGAGAATAGAACCCGACTAACCAACCAACCATGAATCTAATGAGCAACTCTCGCCATCGGGTGATTGCAAGTGACTGAAGAGCCAGCACAGAGGTCTTTCCACGCCGGTGATGCGTTGACATCGTTTCCCGAACAATATACCGAGCCGGCTGCCGCAGCCGGGCGCCGGCGCTGTCGCCACAGCAATCAAGCCCGTCAACTGTACAGGCTGATACCTGGCCAAATTTCAATTCGAATTGACCACTGATTGCCCTCCACAGGCCGCCGAGATAATCTTCTGCGTCATGTCTGAGTTGCCATCTGAACCTCAACAATCGCGCTATCTCTGCCTGACGATATGCGGCTATCGCAAGCCGGGCATGAGCGAGGAAGATTATCGTAATCACATGGTCAACGTCTCTGCCCCTTTAACCAAGGACCTGATGGTAAAATACGGCATCAGGCGATGGACTCAGGTCAGCAACCACTGCCCGCAGACATCCCCACTCATGACCAATCAACCGTTGTGTAGATCCATAACCAGAGCGCAACACGGGCGCTAATGTCCCAGCTCTTTGACCCACAGATGGTGCACCTTGCCGACTTTGACTGCTTTAGCCAGGTCGTCTTCAAGTCGGTGGACGACTATGTGCGAATGAAGCAGGACCCGTGGTACAAGGAGCATTTGGTAGGTGATCACGAGAAGTTTGCTGATACGAAGAAGAGCATGTGAGTACAGCTAGCCGCAGCGGTGACTGTCGCTGATGCTGAGGTGTGTGATAGGATGACTATTGGCTGGATCGAGGAGTTCATCGATGATGGGAAAGTTGTAGAGGCGAATAAGGGGTTCTAGATCAGGACTCTCATGCAATTAGTAGAACCGGAAAATCAAACGGCTATTGCCCACCAAGCCTAGCTATCAAGACTTTCAAATATGTCTATCGCTACGTGCTTGCTGGTTCGCATTTACTCGAGTTACAGTAGGCCGAGAAATAAGCGTATACTATCTCAGATATGTTTTCAGGTGGTTTTGCACTGCTAGGACGGTCGCTATTTTCCGGTTTCACTGATTGCATAAGAGAGTGCTATGTGGTCGTTTGTTTCAAAACTGTGTCAGAGCTAAGAAAGGATGAGAAAAAAAGCTTCAATTTATTTTCGTAAGAAAGATTTTACATTGAATGACGTGCTGCGCTGAGTGTTAATCCTTCGTAGTGTGCTATCAGTCTAGTAAATACCCTACCAAGTTCGTCGTCCAAGGAAGCTATCTCGGTCCCAAATGCCCGCTTGTGACTAGCCAACTACAACATCAGGGACCTTGGCCCACAAAGGATCATACCCAGCGCCCATGATCCACTTCTGGATATCAAGCAAGCCATGCGTTGTATCATACGCCATCTGAGCAAGCTTCAACCACATGTCGCCCCTGACCCTAAGCAGTCGATTCTCAGCGCCGGTAGTCCTCTGCTCCAGCTCCTCGCCCGCTTTCAGAGCGCGCACAAATTTTGCCACATGGCCATCGTCGTGAGAGTCGTTAACGACGGCGTACAGGGAATTCCAGTCCATGCCCTTGCTTAGCGTAGGCTCGTACTGGGAGATGAAGCTGGCATCCAAGGCTGGCGCCGAGCCGGATGCGTACCAAACAAGGTCCATGCGGCCCTTCCACTCGATCAATCGAAGCTTGTTCTCCTGGTCAATCCAGGGTTGATCTACTAGCAACGCTACGAAAACAGAACTAGTGACGTTGTGCATGGAAAAGAAATCGATCTTGGATGATTTGCCTTTGCGTTGGGCAGCGCCAGCGCCATAAGCGGCACCGCTGAGCATTTCCAAGACATTTAGCTGGATGTCTGAAGCGGACGGCTGGTAGTGTGCCGCAACGCGTATCATCTCGTCCATGGCGTTTGCCATGACACCGTCGCGTACTCGGACAGGTCCTTGTTGCATAAGAGCAGCCGATTTGATCTTGGGGTTGTTTCGTGTCAAGTCGTAGAGTTCCGCAAGCGGCTTGGATGGCACTGTGCCGCTCCTTGCAAGCTCTTCACTTTTGACGAAAAAGTGCTCGATGTTGGCCGGATCATGGGTAGCTGCGTGAGCTAGGCCTTCGGCAACGATGCCTGGCTGCTCAAACTCGATGCCAAAGCCCAGATGAATGATTGGATGGTACGCCCCGTCGAACAACTGCGCCAACATAGCTTGACCAATCTCAGTCTTACTGAAGCAATATTCATAGACGACGTCCTTCCAGCCCTTGTGCTGTATCTCGGCTTCGAAAAACCTCAAGTAATTGGCGTACTGATCGAGTTGGCGCATATGTGCAAGGAAGCCACCTGGTGTATCGAGCTCGGCCACGATTGATTCGTCGAGCGGAGGCATGGGCTCTTGGTGTAAATCGTCGTCATCATACGCACGTTGCAGTTGCTCTGGCCCGCCTCCCATGGCGAAGACGCTCAACATGGAGTGTACGGTGTGATTATGACCAGCGACTGGCCGCCAGAACATGCCGAAGTCATCGTGATTCTTTTGAAGCAGCTTGTTGAGTATCTCGATACATCCAGGCGGATTCGGACCAATGCGAGCGATGCCAGCATTGAGGTGTTTGTCATTGAGACTGATTACCGGGTTATGAGCGTCCGCGGACGTGTCATTGCCGTTGGTGATGGAACCCATAGTTGCAATTACTTAGCTGTACAGGAGGTCGAACTGCAGAGCGTGGGAAATTATACGCCGTGAACCAACACAACAAAAGCTGGATTGAGGATATTCCCAGCTCTTGGGAGACTCCGAGTCCTTGCTCATATAGGAACAAGGCCAGTAGCACGTTTCGTCTCATGTGCAGAAGTACTGTCCAATGCGCTGCTTTCGCGGACCACCATAGGACGCTCGGGTCGGTCAGCTACAATACCCCGGCATGATGCACGCCCAATTTCTGAAAGCGCAGAGACCCGAAGTGCGGCTTGTCAATGATATTGAGTCGATCAACTCGAGTTGTTGAGAGTGGATTTGATATGTGTAAGAGATACCCAATGTAAGATAGTCTATTGATTATGGAGATGGGGAGGTGGTATAGACCACTGGTGAGTACTAGCTATCCATATGCTAGCCATAACATCTCGCCACACAGCCTTACGGTCCAAAAACCTTTGACATATCACCTGTGCTCCAGCGACTCCTCGGTACAAGACCGGCAAATCTCCATTGCCCTTGGATGCACTTGAGTGTCAGCACACCAGTCCCGTGGTCGTTGGCCGTAAGTTGCACTGTTCCCAAAGTTTCGTCCGTGTACTTTTGATGCGCGACTCTCAGCTGCAAATGTGCGACTATTATGTCGGCAGAAGTCTTATCCCAAGTCCCCAACCCAATCAGATGCTGAGTCCGGATCGTCGGATTGCCGAGGAAGTGAGTACTCGAGACCATTCCTACGAACTCATCGGCCGGAAGTGCGTCCCATTTCTTGTCAATAAAGGCGCTGTAGTCGACCTGGTTCGCGCCGTAATCAGTCTTTGTGCGTTGCTTCCTGGCTGAAGTAGGTGATGATTTACCGCCAATGTAGGGGCAAGGCATGCCTTCAGCCTCTGCCAGTCTTTCGAGTCGTAGCTTTCTGCCCATTCGAAGAGCACGGTCTGGCAGCTTAGAATCTCTGGGCCCGCTATTAGCTCCGGTGGTTTCAGGAGCTACCCATTTTTCTTCGCGAGACTTACCTTCGTACGTCGGAGGAGACATGTTTAGACTCAAGGTGGTTGGTGTTAGAAGGCGGACTGTGAGCGGCTACGGAAAACCATAGAGGATCGCGATTGTTGCACTCTTATACCCTACGCAGATTTGATGGTAATGTCCCGATCCCCCGGCATATATCTTTGACGCAACACGAGCTGGCGGCTGTCGCTTTTCAGGCAACAAGTGCAGCTCCCTCAAGTTGATAGCCGGACATGTACACATGTATGAGCATATAGTGTAACAGGTACCTTGAGTCCGATAGTCATACATTGTACACTTCTGAACTGTTGACCGGGGGAAACATAATTTTGCTATGATTGTCCCAGAAATGATAAAATATTGAATTTTAGTAGATCTTTTTAGATAGTCATCCAATAATACAATCACTCCGTGCCAACTCCAACGCCGTGTCCATTCGCTCCCGCCAAAGACTGTTCTTGTATGTATCTTCCGACCCTGGGCATGAGTTCCTGCATCTTGGCCGAGTCCATCATCTCCTCAATCTTAGCAACCCTATCGCCCGCCGCGGAAAAGGTCAAGAAGATAACAGACTCCACATCCCACTCCCCAAATGGTGCGTCGCCCTTGGCCGTGCTGTAAATGGCCGCCTGGTTCTTCTCCGCGTCATGTAGGACATGATGGATCGTGAGCTACAGTCGACACAATGCCGTGTCATCAGTCAAGGGATATATAGGACAAGGGCGCAGGGACTATCGGACCTTGTAATTGGTTACCGCAGTCATGAGAATGGGAAGAATATGCTCGACTTCGGCTCGGCCACGAGCGGGAACACCCATTGAAGACGGCAGCATAACTTGGGTAACATTGTCACTCAGAATGGCGAGGTATCGCTTGTAGTCCCAGGTCTTCCAGGCCTCGATGAAAGTCTGCAACGTGATTGTCTGGAGGAAGTCGGGTGCTGTCATGGCGGCAGGGAGTGTATCGACGGCTTGATCTCTAGCTAGGTTGTTTTTCCAGTTGAAGATACTCATGCTGCAGATATTAATTCCGAGAATATTGATGTATAAGAGTGCCATATTCGGGTACCGAGGTCCACCTATGTGCCGACGGCTCACGAGTGGATTTCGCATCGTGTTACAGGACTGCTATAGTAAGAAGTATGACGACTTACACGCTCTGAAATACAAATGAAATGTGAGGACTAATCCGTGCAAGAGAACGTATTATTGTGAAAGTATTACATATACTAGGCGGAACAGCTCTACGGCCAACTGGTTTGACCATTAATTACCTTGATCATCCTCAAACGATGCGATCTTCACTTGCAATGCTGCCACTGAGTGGTCTCTGGAGCACAACTTGTTGGTGACGACGAGTCGTCCGGTATTATCACGGATGTCATTGACCATGTCCACCAACTGCTCAAATCCCAAAGCTTGGTCATTTGCCATCTGCAGCAAACTCAAGTCGTAGAAGCGTGAGGCCGCCTCGACTTCGGCATCAGCGGTCCCTGGCTCAGGTATCACTTGAGCGACAAGAATTAGTTGAGCGTTTGGCCTATTCTTAAGCAAGCGGAGATGGGCTTTGATCTCGATGATGAATTGGGTGCGGAGATCGTCAGTAGTATGGTGCACGGACAGATGCGGAGAGTGTATGATGTAGACGGACGCGTCTTCGACGAGCTGCGGTGCTCCTCTCATCCTCTGCTGGACCACGACGTTGCCGGACTCAAGGTTGGCTGTCTCTATTGCCGCTTTTGGGCGGTCATACATCTGCACTATGAAGCGAACGTTTGCATTCGCCCCGGACAAGGCTCGTGCGGCAGCAGTTGAGGGAGGGCCAACCTGCACGAGGAGTGATCAGTCGTAAGTAAGCGAAAGCCGCACAGAAGGCGTAACGTACCTGGACAACCGTGGCACCATCCAAGTGAGACCAGTCCAAGCTTGAGAGTAGCTGAGTGACGCAATCGTCCAGAGCACGGTTAGACAAGCGCTGATATGCCATGAGCTGGCGATGCAAGTTCGGCTGTTGGCCATTCTCAGAACCACGGCCCTTGACCGAGCGAGAGGCCAAGGCGTAAGCGCATGGCGAGCTGTCCGTCGAATGCACCTGTAGCCGAGTCGCCTCGGCCATCTGGAGACCGGTAGGCATGGCAGTATGACAGATGAAGAGAACGGCATCGATGAGCGAGGGTTTTGTGACAAACTGGCTCGATAGTGGTGTATGTGCTACAAATTCTGGCTCCGGCTCATGGAGAAATCCTACTGTTGCCGTTGCGCGCACAACGCGTAGGAGGTGCGAGACGGGGACACCAGCCAGGTCGGCTACATCTTGGATGGGAACAGATTGTGTGAGAGGTATACAGGCCAGCACTTGGAATGTGCTGAGCCAGTGTAGACAGGATAACAACTGGGCCTGTGGCAGATGGTCAGTTGGCTAGTTAGAGTGAAAGACTCATCATCAGGCCTGCGCCTGACAGCTTTGGACGAACCTGGCGAGCCAGATGGTGGACAAAAGTGGCGCCCTCTTGGTTCATTGCGATTGTTGCGACAGAGTGGACATTGTCACAACACTGGACACTGTCACGACGCAAAAACCTTCAGGCTGCTACGAAGACGGACGCGCATCATCAGCTCATGCAGAGGATCTCGCACCATACGTCGCGTCTAGGTTCGCAGATTACCGGTAGTGGGTAGCTAGCAGACTCGGCGTACGTTCGATGCGGGGGATCAACGTATGGTGGATAATCAGCTTAGGCCGCCCGCTTGCGCTATGCGTCGCTACCCGATTGCATCGCTACCCGGTAACGCCCCGAGATTGGTATATTTTTAGTCCCGACTACACCTAGAGCTAAAACTTACATCTAGATTAGGTTCGTAGACCGCGGGTAGTGCGTAGCTAGCAGGCTCGGCGTGCATTGCATGCGGGGGAGTAACGTCTTACACGTGTGCTTGTCGAGTACGGCTCGGGTGCATGAGGTACGGTGGTGGATAGTTAGCAAAGGCTGCTACATGTCGCTAACCAGTAACGTCTCCAGGTCGGTATATTTCCTTGGTCGCCTTAATATGACGATAGTTCATGCCCGGGTTGCTACGAGCATGGGAGTCGTTCATCCCTGGTATCCCTCGCGTGTACTCGTACGTGACAAGCCCTTCGTGGCCAAGCTTCTCTGCCTATACTCATAGATTGCCTTGCTGTGCGGACCAATATCCTCGCGTGCTCGTTGTACCATTTCTGCCACCATGTCACCCGCACTTGTCCACGACAACGACAACAACAGCAGCACGACCAACATCTTCAACAAAGACAAGAGCTTCTGGAACAACTACAACAAAGGCCGGCCCCACCCGCCCGAATCTCTCACCAATCGCATTTTCAAGTATCACGAGCAGCATGGGAGCAGTTTCGCGACGGCCCACGACGTTGGTGCAGGAGACGGGCCGTACGCAGCTAAGCTGAAGGCGCGCTTCGCTCACGTCATCGTGTCGGACATCAGCGCGTCCAACGTCGAGCTTGCAAAGCGACGGCTGGGGCAAGACGGCTACTCGTATCGCCAGGCCAGGGTTGAGGATGCAGGGAGTGTCGAGGATGCCAGTGTCGACCTGGTTTTTGCCGCCAATGTCATGCACTTCCCCGATCAAGCGCCCGCCATGGCGGCTATTGCGCGGCAACTGCGGCCCGGCGGTACTTTTGCCGCGGCTGCGTTCGGGCCGGCTCGCTTTGACGACGAAGCGCTGCAGGCGCTATGGGAGCGAATCAGCGAGCAGGGCGGCCAAGAGCTGCTTGACAAGGCGGGCGCTGAGGAGCAAGCGAAGACCATGGCCGTCATGGCAAGGACCGAGGGTACATACAACACGGCACCCCTTGACACGTCCCTCTTCCTGCCGGGCGCCCAGCGGGTACACCTCAACATGGACCGTGGCGGTCTGACGGGCATGCTGCCTGCATCCAAGGCGCACCTCAACACCGAACCAAGCCACACAGGGCCCAACGATGTTGAGGTATGGGAGGAAGAGGCGGGCTGGGAGTTTGAAATGGACCGAGCGGCCGTCAAAGAGCATGCCCTCTCCTTCCCCTTCATCTCAGATCAGTCGCCTGCCATGGCGCGCTTGTTCGACGAGTTGGACTCGATGCTGCCACCCGGTACGTCTGCGCGCGGCCGATGGCCCGCCAAGATCATACTTGCGACGAGGCGATGAGACGCATGCTACTACCTCTCAAGGGTAGGTTTTTTCAAGCTACCAAGTAAAGCCGAGCTGATCGGAGGCAGAAGCTATGTAGAAGATACTGGGCTATATAGGCAATCCAGATAGAAGCAAATCTGACTCCTCCATCAGAGCAAATTAGGAATCTATCTAATACGTAGAGTTGATACGATGAGTGAGTCAAAAGGCTTTGGAAAAATTAGAACCAGTCACCTAGAACGTTTACTACTTAATGCTTGATCAGCTGTGTGCCTAAAATACATGTTGTAGACGCTTGCTTCATAGAGATCACCCTTGAGGTAGAGTAAATATGTAAAGTGCTAAATTAGGAGATAGCACGATACACTGCCTACAATTATCTCATGGTCCAAGTCCTGTAGGGAGGTATGGATGCAGAACAGGGAAGAAATGCCTCATCAATCCAACCACAATGCACAGCGGCGTGCCCTTTGGGAACGCCGGCTTTCCATTCGTGTTGACCACACTCACGTTCCTGCCATCGTACACTCCGCCCTCGTCCTCGGCCGCCTCAATCATGGCGCCTGCCAGGTCTTCATATGTGACTGGACTGTCCTCGTCGGTAAAACTCAAGGCGTAGCCTCGCGCCTTGTCGACCGCCAATGCGCCGGGCTTCATGTAGATGGTTGTAAGCCAGCTCTCTTGCGCGCGCAACAATTTTTCTGCTTCCATCAGGTCATGATAGACCTGAGACGCCGACAACAGGAGAATCTGCCGAAGGAGCCAGGGCGTATGACGTGACAGGTGTTCGTCAACCGTGCAGGATGAAAGGAGCACTAGCTTGGGTGAGATGGTTGAACCTCGCTTCTTTTGCCCCTCAAGGGCCGCAAGCACAGCGAGAACCGTGTCCTGGCTCATTCTGCACCCGGGGATGTTGTCATTCGTCGAGACAACCAGGAATATGACCTGGCATGCTTGTACGCACGTGGCCACGATATCCGTGTCCGTGATACTGCCTTCGAATACCGTCATCTGCTTCATGCTGTCAAGATCGGGGAAGGCATCCGCCAGCTTTCGCTTGTTGCGGCAGAAGGCGTGGATCTGAGCCTGTGGGCGTGAGAGGAGGGCGGAAAGCAATGCCTGGCCGGTACGGCCTGTGGCGCCGAGTATGGCGTAGCGTGGCATCGTGTCGTCAGATATTGAATACAACTTGTTTCCCACACTGTATAGTATTGACCAGAATCTGAAATTCAATGCTCTTCGAACAAGACTTCATATCTTGCCATTTCATGAATGATAAGTGTCGGTGTTCATGCGCATCATTCTAGTGGACTGGGAATACCCCGAGCATGGCTTACCTCCACATAATGATCCGATTCTGGCCGTCCTGGTAAAGTCGGTATCTAGGTCGCTGAAGCCGAGCAATCATGTAGACATTATCGAGTAGTAGGCATACTATAGAATAAACAACCTTGGTGCAATTCTAGCTCCACATCCACAAACGCCCCAAGTCCCAGTGTGCTCCTCGCCGCTCACAGGTCACAGCAACAACTTTGACGACGCCCCGTATCATGGCACATCACCAATCGACGCTTTCCAAATTTGCCATAGTGCTTGGAGCATTCCTATCTGGTTCGTATCTTGCGCAAGCAAGCATAGCCGTACATCTTGTGGCATCTACTCAGACCAGCTCTTAGGCACCATGCTCAGCCTTTCGGCCATCGCAATACCGGTATATCTCGATACACTTAGGACCCCTGCACAGCTTTACAGTAGCTGGGCGCGAACCTATCACTACGGCCATCTGGGTTTGCCCGCAATGTCCATAACAACGTGTATCCTGTACGGCATCGTGGCGCAGAAGCACAAGTCCGCCAATAGGCAATGGCGAAGATACGTGCTGGCCGCGCTTGTCACGGTGACTATGGTACCATTTACATGGGTCTTCATGACAAGCACGAACAATACGCTGTTTGGACTGCATGCGGAATCAGAGGCTGTGGGTGGTAGCTTCAGTGATGCACGCGAACTCGTGGTGCATTGGAGCAGACTCCATCTTTTGCGGTCTTTGTTCCCGCTGGCTGGTGCGGTGATTGGTATTGGTGGCTTGTAGAATTGGATAGTATTTTCAACCATTGCCTTCCCAACCTGGGGCCGCAATATACCGCTAGATGAACATTGTGAGCCTCGGAAGAATTCGGCGGTCCGAAAATGAGGAAGCCCAAGTAGTACGAGTGTTAGTTGGACGAGGAAATGCTGCTCTCCCAAAAATCACAAACTATCTTGACAAGATCTTGCCGATAAAGTGACAGTGTAACGAGACCCTTTCATGCCCTGGCCATGCAACGGACGGATTGCAATCGTTCTTCGTCGGCTCTCGGGCCCATCGACTCGCATCCCGACGTGACCTTATGAATACCCGGTGCCGATGGAGCCACTCCCTCGATATCTGCACAAAAGTCAAGACAGAGTGCCTACAATCTAGTAATTTTCTCTTATAGCTGGAGCATCTACCGAGAAACCTTCTACGTTCCTATCTCGAGCACTCATCCACCGAGTTCCTTCTCTCCTACGACATGGCTACCAACGGCACCAACGGCACCAACGGTGCTCAAAGTCTTCACCTGCCTTACCGTCTCGATGGCAAAGTAGCCCTCGTCACTGGCTCCGGCCGCGGCATTGGCGCTGCAATGGCCCTCCAGCTCGCCACCTGCGGCGCCAGGATCATTGTCAACTATGCAAAGTCTGCTGCGCCAGCGGCAAAAGTGGTCCAAGACATCAAAAACCTGGGGTCTGACGCCGTCGCCATACAAGCCGATGTAAGCAAAGTACCGGAAATTGTCCGTCTTATGGACGAAGCAAAATCCGTTTTCGGGCGTCTGGACATTGTATGCTCGAACGCTGGCGTGGTGTCCTTTGGGCACCTGGAAGATGTTGACGAGGTATGTGCGTCCCTGTTTTCCGGCTTCTGCATCATTGTCATTGCTATACTCGCTGACAACTGTAACCAGGCCGAATTCGACCGCGTATTTTCAACTAATACCCGCGGCCAATTCTTCGTCGCTCGTGAAGCATACAAACATCTTGGACCGGGAGGCCGCATCATTCTCATGAGCTCCAACACGGCTGATTCCTTCACTGTCCCAAAGCACTCGCTTTACTCGGCCTCCAAAGCAGCCATCAACGCCTTCGTCAGATGTCTGTCTAAAGACTGTGGCGCAAAGAAAATAACCATTAATGCTGTGGCGCCCGGCGGCATTCTTACCGATATGCTGTTTGAGACGGCCAAGGACTATATTCCCAACTCGCAGGACCTGAGTGAGGAGCAGATACTCAAGGTAAGGCCGAGCCCAGAGTCTTGCCAGAAGAAAGCAGACATGCTAATCAGCCCAACAGATCGTGGCAAGCGTCTCGCCTCTGAACCGCTGTGGGCTGCCTGTCGATATTGCGCGTGTGGTTTGCTTCTTGGCCTCAGAGGAAGCGGAGTGGATCAATGGCAAAGTTATGGGCATCGATGGGGGAGCGGCGTAGTTAGTAATCCCGCTAAGACAGTCATCGGTAATGAGGTAGGCACCGGAGGGCGCACTGGAAGCGGCTTGGCAGCCATGAACCAATCGCAACATAGTTTCAATTGTTCACTGTGTATACATAGCAGAATTCATGCTGGTGGAGACGCTCCATATCTAATTTAAGATTGGAAAATTCTACGCTGTTGGTAATGATTACGACTCTACACAATATAGACCGAAGTGTTTACAGTACGACTCTTACTCTCTACACCAGCCCTTGCTAGTGCCCTATACACAAGACTCGACACATGTAGCACAGTAGTCTTAAAATCTGAAGGTGACGACGATGGCATCTCCAATATTTCTAGCAACATCCAATATTTTTGTCATAACAATGTCGCTGCTGGCCTCAGCCTCGTAAAGTCGCCAAGATCCAACTAAGCAAATTGCAGCCACGTCGTACAAATACCATTGTCTATGATCTGAGCAAAAGGATACCAAATGTCGGCGCTAGCACGGTATTCACCATGTGCTTGGTCACATTTTGCCCGTCGGGATGTTGCAAAAGGATCATGCAATCCGCTACTCCCGCCCACGCCCAGCATATCATGAACATCCCCAACATCCTCTTATCACCCCGTAGGATCTGTGTCCAAACGAAAAACCCAGCGCCGAGATTCCGGCCCGTTGCTGACGCAAAAAGCACAACGGTGTCCTCTGTCGCTGTTGGAATGCCGAAGCCTTTCGCCCCTACATACGGTGGTTAGCATGCTTACATGGAGGGGCAGGGAACAGGTGGTGAACTACAGCCAAGTGTATCGATAAATGTGCCCACTACGCCGGAGTAGAGTAACGCCGTTCCCATCGCCACCGTGATAGCAGTAAGGAAGTACGAGTATAGTCGCTCGAATGACAGTTGAGGCATGGTCGGCGAATGTTTGGAGTACAGTTCGATGTAGCCTCTACCTAGCATAGCGTTGGGGCATGCATTATAGCCTCTACTTAGAAGAGTCTTCCGGGTCGTTTATGGTGCTCGACTCCGGTTACGCTGAATGTACCGGTCTGCTTGCCACAGTACGGCTGCCGAGCGGCCTCCGGCATTCCCACCGAAAGCTATTTCCGAGACGCTTGGAGCACGACGCGGCGATATCAAGCGTAAGACGCTCAGTGAATCGCGACTACTCATTGTAAGCTACGCAATCCAAGCAGTGCTTAGCCCAGCAAAACCCACAACTGACGGAATTTGATCTGGCGTCTGCATACAGTGCCAGCATTGACGAACCAGCACTCTTGATCCAAACATCACATCTCATTCATCCCAACAGCAATGGTAGAATCCGTGGAGCAGAAGTTGGACAAGTTGAACTTTAGCACGGAGCCTCTGAACGTTGCAATAGTCGGTGGCGGCTTCGCAGGCTTTGCGCTTCTCATAGGACTCCAAAAGTACCCTCATCTCAACCCGCAGCTCTACGAATCCGCTGAAACATGGTCGGAGCTCGGTGCGGGAGCGATCCAGGGCCCGAATGCCCAACGGGCAATGGAAATGATTGACCCACGCATCTTGCGTGGCTTTGAGCGACGAGCAGCTTACAACGAGGGCCCTCCGGACGAAAATGGCCAGTATCTGTGGATGGCTGTCACCAAAGGCCAAGAGCCAGATGTCGGCGAAAAGGTGCTCGAGTACAAGCATAGTGTGAGGGGATCGACGATTCATCGCGCCCACTTCCTTAGCGAGCTCATCAAGCTAGCTGACCCACAACGAACGCATGTGGGTAAGCGCCTCGTAGGCATCCAGGAGAGCAGTGGTGATACTCCTGTCCAGCTTCACTTCAAGGATGGAACTCAAGCAGAGGCAGACGTGGTGATTGGGGCTGATGGAATCCACTCCGTGGTTCGCAGGCATGTACTCGGCGCCGACAACCCTGCTTCCGATGCCTTCTTCACGGGCGGCATCATCTATCGCTGCACAGTGCCAATCGCAGTGGCAAAGGAAGCCCTGGAGGACGTGACCCAAAAGTTCAGCATAACCTGCGGCAAAGACGGCGTGGTATATGGCTTCCCTCTGGCGAACAACACGCTCTACTATATCGGGGTGACCACATTCCACAACAGCCCAGTGAAGCAGGATAAGTGGAACGTACCGGTAGACACCGAAGACCTCAACGGTCGCTTCGCAAATTACGCAGACTTTGTGAAGAAGCAGGTCGCCCTAGTGCCAAACGATGGCAGCACTCTCGGTTGGTCGATCTGGGAAATGCCACCGGCGCCGACGTTCCACAAAGGCCGTGTATACATCATGGGCGATGCCGCACACGCCACGGCGCCCTTTCTGGGTGCCGGGGCCGGTCAAGCTGTTGAAGATGCCTTGGTGATGCATCGCTTGTTGGGAGATTGCTTTGACCCAGCTCGACAGAGTGAATCGCCGTTCACAAAGCAAGAGACAGTACGTGCGGTGCTTCAGGCTTGCGACACGACGCGCCGGTTCCGCAGCCAGAAGGTCATCGTGACGAGTTCGGAGGTGGGTCGCCTGTTGTCTGGCAACGAGCCAGGGGTCACGATGGAAGCTGCACCGATGTTCGAAGCGCTGAAGGACAAGATGCATTGGATATGGGATGCCGACATGGAACAACAGGTCAAAGATGCAAGACTGCTGTTCGAGGAAGCGGAGTTTGCCGTGAAGCGCCAAGCAGCTACTCGATACACCGACTTCAAAGCACCTGGGAGGGAGTAGTATAGGGTAGATAGGCAAGTTGTAGACGGGCTTTGCGATATTGTACCCTTGATACTAATCGTCAAACTCACTGCCGCCATTGATACATATCATTGCTTGATGCTTTTGCAAGAGAATCAGACTTGGGGTACTTCTACGTAGAGCCAGCCATCAGCCGTTCGAAGTAATCCATATCAATCCCTTCCAAGGACCATTCGCTAGTTCCTGTGAGACCAGGCAACAGAGCATCAAAGAAGCCTCCCTCTGAGAATTTTGGATTCCACACATCCTCATGCCCGCTCGTGAGACCTGGTTGCTGACTGACCATTACAGCAGGACTCACTATTCCAGCGGAGTAGTATGGCGTCGCCAACATTAGGCTTTCGCGATCGTCGCTTGTTTGCGTGTCGAGTGTAGTCCCTGCATCGTCGAGTCCCCGCTGAGAGCTGCTGGCGGAGGCGTATGAAGTGTGGAGACCCGCGGTAGAGTGTGAAATTGGCGCCTGTGACTGTATGTCGCTATGTCCGATTGAACGATTCGGATAATTTGTTGCCCGAGCGGCTATGCCCTCTAGTGCGAATTTGATCAGACCAAAGTAAGGAATGTGCATCTGCGAAGTGTCTTCTTCGGCCTTCTCCACGAGAGGTGCGTTGTGCGCAACTTGCTGCACCACAACATTATGCGCCGGGGCATCGTAGCCATCAGCGGCTTCTGCTTCGATAGCGAGTAGTCGCCGCAGGAGTTCTGCGCTTTGCCGACTGAGCGAATCTTCGTTGAGTCGACTGACCTCCTGTAAATTCTCCTGTGCCTGCTCTATCATGGCCCGGTCGCCTAGGTACAGGTGCGTCATGATGTCGGCCTGCGAAGGGTGGCGATAGCTGTCGAGGTGGGCCAGAAGCAGCGTCACTGCAGCCATAACGGCCAGGTAGTCAACTGTGCGGCAGTTGTAGGCGACTTGGTTCGATCTGCGTAACACAGCAAAGCGAGAAAGAATCTCCCGAGAAGAATTGACGCAGGCAAACTTGGAGTATGTGAACCGCCGATCAGTAGAGGATAGCAACATGTAGGGAACGTGAAGCTGATTGAGGAGATTGAAGTGGAAAATCTGCACATACAGCCGCTGCACGTCCCAGCAGACTTCCTGTTTGGTCTGCACTGGGTTTCCAAGGTCCGGGACAAGCCACCATTTGCTGGGGAGGGTTTGAGCAGCACGCTGCAGTTCTTTATCTAGACTTTGGGTTACACTGAAGTCGACGCTTGTCGGATCGGATTCGTTGCGCTGCAGTATGCGTGAAGCAATGACGCACTGCACTCTTTCGAGGCCGCCCATGGCGGTATCAGTGGCGAGTAGTGCTTCGCTAGCCATGCTGACATCCGTAGAGCCCTGAGGTAGACCAAGGAGAAGACACATATAGCGATCGTAATGGACGATGCGGAACCACATGTACTGCGGATCGCAGCGGGTTGCGCGATCCAAGACTCGATATTGCTTGGGGGTAGCCGGCGCATGCACATGCAGGCCGAGGAGCTGCGCGAGGAGCATTGCTCGGCGACAGGCCATCCAACTAAGGCGCAGACTGCCACAGTTTCCATAGTAGATGCTCTCCATTACAACGCACTCTAACCCCTCCACGCTGGCCAGCATTCGGTCCTGGGAGGTGACGAGGCGAATGGCAAGTTCTGCGAGACGCTCTGCCATTGCTCTCGGAGGCTCATGAAGACCAGCTAGTTCATGGTGTATATTCGGGTGCAGATCTTGAAGAAGCGTGACTATGTTCAGTATATGCCTGGCTAGGAGCACTGGATGGGAATCTACGCTAGCTGGTGCGGGCAAGGAGCCGGGCGATGTGGGGCGGTTGGGATCGTTGGGATCCAGCCAAGTGTAGGGCATAGTAAGCGTCGAGCCATTGAGCATAGCCGAGTGTCGACTGCTTGCTCGATAGATGATGTCGCATTCTTCTGGCGAAGGTAGTGCAGCATGGAGGGTTTTTGATATTTCTGCCATGGGCGGAGTGCGACCAGACAGGTGACTGTATGAGGGTCGTATATGCGTCGCCGCTGGCTCAGGAGGAGGAGCTGTGGCGTCTGTCCTTGGGTTCGCAGCGATGGCGGTGGCGATGGCGGGCAAGAAGTGATGGGTAGGCTCCTCAGGCTGGTCTTGGGCGAGGCAGGGAGTGCTACGCTTCCTACAGCCAAGACAGATGGTTGAATTGTCTGCGCATGGGACGCACTTCTCCTTCCGCCGCTTGCAAGCCCAGCAGCTGTGAGTGCCTTTGCGCAGCTTCCGCCGCTTGGGATTGCCGGGCCCATCCACATCGTCGGTGGAAACAGAGGCCATTGCGATGGGAGCGACAGTAGTGACGCTGGACGGTGTTACGACGTGCTACACAGTACGTCGTCTGGCGATGCAACTTTGTGTATGTACCCGCCGTGTATGCCATGGACAAACAAAGGTAAGCGCTTGCTTGGACCGCCGAAGGCATTCGACCGCCGGTGGGGTGGCGGGGCGGGATTGCGCCGAGCGACCGATTCGTAGCTGACTGCAGACTACTTGTAGTTACTACCACCGAACCAATGCAGGGCAGGGGAAATACGATGCATGCACATGATGCAGGTCAGACTTCCCGCAACGGCACGCCTTACCGCCGGTAGGCTACTTACTGTGTACTGTAGTGATGTGATGGTCTACCTTCTGCGTCGATTCTGCATGACCATGGTAATAGATACGAGCACACCATCCTGTGAGCATGGCGGCGCCTGCCTCGCGCCTCCTGCACGCCGGGCTCGGCGCGCTCTGCCTTCCGCCGGTCCACTTGCGAGTGTCGGCGGAAGCAAACACAAAGACTACATGGCATTGCACCGCCGACACTCACTCTGTATACTAGTGAGTATTGCAAAGTTCCGCCGAGAGTCGCAATTCCACCGCCGGATGCCGGCTGCTCTGTATAATGTTTGAAAGAAAACATGAGGATACAAGACTGCATCCCTCACGCTTTCCTTCGCTCTTGCTTCATTCAAAGCAATCCCAACCCGCCCTAATCCTTTCCAGCCACCTTCTGTAATCAACATGGCTGCCGACTCTGCATCCAGCGCTGATGCTCAGTATGCCGAGTCGAGAAATAGCAGCGAGAAGAAGACGGCCGATGGCATGCTCGACGCAAAGCATGTGGCGGCAGCCAAGACAACCGATGGCGGCGACGAGGTCGCCGTCTACTACACTGGGTGGCACCTTGCTGCCGTCATGGCCACCATCAACTTGAGCACGCTCATCGCTTCCTTGGACTTGGTGGGTATCGTGCATGCATCTTGAAAACATGCAGTGTGCTGACACATGACTCCAGGGTATTGTAGCCACGGCGATTCCAGCAATTACGAGGGACTTCGACGGTTTGGAATACATCGGCTGGTACAGTGGCGCATGCTTCCTCCTTGTCGGTAGTAGCAGTGCTCTATGGGGCAAGCTGTACAAGTACCTGTCTGCGCGATACGTATTTATGGCGGCGCTTGGCATCTACCTCGTGGGCAGTATCGTTGCGGCGGCAGCGCCCAACGGCGTCGCATTGATCGTGGGAAGAGCGCTCCAAGGCCTTGGCTGTTCAGGTGAGCAGCATACCCGATCAAGGCTTCAATGGGCTTGCTGGCTGACCATGTGCATCTCCAGGCTGTCTCAGTGGATCCGTCCTTATCATCAACTTCACGGCTGCCCCGAGTAGTCGTCCCGGATTGATTGGCATATGGATTGGCGTTTGTAAGAATTAGTCCAAAAGCTTCGGCTTCTGCCACTTTCGAGAGCAGTTCGCTAATGTGGAAACAGTCATGTCAGCCACGATCCTAGGTCCAGTCCTAGGAGGCGTCTTCACTTCAGAGGTTACCTGGCGCTGGTGCTTCTGGATCAATCTGCCCGTCGGAGGCGTCGCAATCTTGCTGCAAATTCTCTTTCTACATATTCCGAAGCACGTCAAGTTGGCTCCGGCAACGTGGAAAGAGATTATCCTTCACATCGACATTCCTGGTTTCAGCTTCTTGCTGACCTCGCTCATCTGCTTCACATTAGCACTTGAATGGGGAGGTCTGACCAAGCCATGGTCAGATGGTTCAGTCATTGCCACGCTTGTCCTCTTCGTTGTGCTCACAATCGGCTTCGTAGGTGTTGAGTGGCTACAGGGAGAGTATGCAGGTGTGCCGTTGCGTCTATTGAAGCCGCGCATGACCTGGGCCAACTGCATCTACGGTTGGCTGAACCCAGGAGCGAACTTCTTGGTTCTCTTCTACCTTCCAATCTACTTTCAGGCTGTGAAGGGCACATCGGCCATCACTAGCGGTGTGTATACATTGCCTTTCATGGCATTCTATGCGCTAGGAGCGATGATGAGCGGTGGTATGATGGGAAAGACCCGCATGATCCACCCATTCACCATCACTAGTGGCCTCCTCACGACCCTCGGCGCGGCTCTACTGTGGGCCATGGATGTCAACACCTCCAAGGCATGGTACATTGGCGCGCAAGTGCCATTCGGTCTCGGTATTGGGCTCGGCAACCAGGTTCCAGTGACAGTGCTGCAGGCATTCGCCTCAGCGGCAGACGTTGCGGCAACAACCGGCATCATTTTCAGTGAGTACTCGGGCAATGCGTCGAGGTTTGTGGCAATATGCTAACACAGATTGCAGCGTTCCAGACAGCAACTGGCGCGTACTTTGTCGTAGCAGCGCAGTCGATCTTTGCGAATTTGATGGTGCAGACTTTAATGAAGAATGCCAAAGACATTGACATTGGTAGGGTCCTGAGCTCTGGGGCGGGAGAGCTGCAGACCCTCTTCAGCGGTTCGCAGCTGGACCAGGTGCGTAGTGCGTACATGGTTGGCATCAAGGACGTGTTCGCCTTCTGCATTGCTGTGTCGGCCGCCACCATCTTTGCCGCGCTGTTAGTGCCTTTCGTAAGGATGCCTGACACGGAGACGCCGAAGCTGGAGGTCGAGGAGAAGTCAGCGGAGACATGATGGGAATTCGAGCCAAGTTCAGCAGCTCTCGCCAGGCACGCGAGGACGGGATGGAAAAGAGAGATTGAAACCGCCGCCGATAGGAAGGAGAGGGAAGTCCATGCTCGAAGTACAGTAATGCGTGGGGGCGGTATCGAAAACAAGGTGCTTAGCTAGATGTCTCATAGCAATCAGATGGTAATACTGGACTCGCCGGTCACATGGGCGAACCCGCTGTTGAAACTTTGAGCTATACATAAGCAGCCCAATAGCGCACTCCCCCCCCCCCCCATGGCGGCTTTGTCCCTCACCACTGATGTCTGTGTGCGAGGTGTGAATGTATGTGTGGAGTGAAGAGCTTGACTTGGCTACGGCTCGGCTAAAAGTGCAGCCCACTCCTCGGCTCCGCTTGGCCAAGTTCAGCTTACTGTGTATTACAGTACTACCCACGAGCTAAAACGTTGATCAGTATCACAAGCAGCAGTCACATTCTCTCATATGATCAACATGACTACAACTGAGTAGTGTGATTATCCATTGTTACGTCTATATTTGTATACGTATGTTCTTATGCATGTAGTATGTCTATAGTCGATTGCTATATGCTCTATGCACGTGACTGTGGCTTCGCTGGCCCGAGGGGCGTCCGGCCGGTACATGTTGGAGATTTGGCCTCGGGTTCAGGGTATCGTGACACAATCCCATCTCGATGTACACAGTACACATAACACAGTAGAGGTATCATCTCACCGCTCAGAAGCTCAGCTCACTTGCGGAGCGTCCCGGCGGGCCGGCGCTCGCAGCCCTTGTCAGCCGAGCCCCATCCATCGTGCATTCTGACTGCATCCTAAGTTCTGACCCCGTACATACTGACAAGTCGTCAGGGTGAACCGTCTCGCAGCGCAGTCAACAACGCCTGAGATAGATCGCGCAATCGAGCGCGCATACTGGCCTCCAGCACTTGCGCCAGCCTCTGCGACGTCGTCTGGTCGAACGGGTTGTCGTCGAACAGCAGGTCCTTCACCGTGGCATCGATGCCGTTACCGTTGCCGCTGCCGGTCGCCCGCGACCGCTGCTCCCTCTCTGCCATCGCGTGCAGCTGCTGAGACAGGACCTTTACCACCCGTTGCACCTGATGCAGACGCGACAATACCAGCTGCCGCACAATGTGGTTCCCATCCTCGCCGTCCAGCTCGTAGCCGGGCAGGCCGTCCGCCGAGAGCCGTACGGTTAACGATGGCCGATTTCCCAGCTCGCCTGCCTGTAGGTTGGTCGTGTTTGCGTGGCACGCTGATGCCGCTGCTGCGTACCACCCAAGCGTCTTGAACACGACCAGCGCCAGCGTGAAAAGTGACGAGATGTCCTTGGCGCAAGGGCAGGCGAGCATGGCACTAGTCGTCTCCATTGCTGTCTGGTTCTGCGACAGTACATACTCCAGCTGGCGCAGAGTGTGTGTCTCGCTTTTCTGTTTGTCCATGACCAGCTCACGCAAGACTGTATGTGCCTTCGTACTGCAGCCACAATTTGACAGCGAGCTCGGAGCAACCTGGCCCAACACCGAATCTCTGCGTAGGGGCGGAGTAGGGATCGACCGGGGAGAGCCGCTGGCTGTGCTGCTGGTGCTCGTTGAGAACCAATCCACCAATCCCAACTTTGCTTTTGTTGTGGTTGGCATCTGCTGAAGGTTGGCATGTTCTGAAACTTGCCCGGCTCCCATGGGCGCCGTGGGCATCTCAATCGGAAATAGCACTTGCCGGTCTGGAATGCCGATGCTACAAGGTGTGAATGAAAAGTCAAAGTCGTTGTGGTTTAGCCCCGGATCGGGATTAGCATCCAAGTCAGGCGGCAACGTAAGAGACCCTAGGAAGTCGAAATCGTCGGCTGTGGTTTCTGGTACCATCTGCAGCACCGAATTGCCAGACCATGTCTGCCCGCTGAAGTCTGAGAAGTCAGGAGTGGAAGCATTGAATATGTCACTGGACAGCTGTGGCGAGGTGGACGACAAAGGCTGGTCGATCATCACAGCATCAGGTGCTTGCGCCATTGCGAGAGGCCCTTGTGCTCCCGCGGTAGCAGAGATTGGAGTGGGCATCTGTATACCACTATCAATGGCAGATGCGGACTGCTGAGTCGTGCTAGGGCCATCGGTCGTCACCTTGGTCTTCTTCACAGCGGGACGTCCTGCTCGGCGAATGACAGCATAGACACAGGTCTCTTCTCGTCGCACGCAGCGAGCACATGAAGGCTTCTCTTTGGTACATCCAATCTTTGCATCGGCGCATGCATTGCAGGTACTTCGCAGCTGCGCACGTGGTTGTGCCTGGGTCGACATCATGTACAACGGAGTTGACAGATATACTGTGGGGTACAATATCAATGAAATAAAAGCACTGGGTGTACGACAAGCAATGAAAAGAACCCATGTAGACTTCCCTGCAGCTTTATGATCTCAAGCTACGCTTCTCAATATCTTTGCCACTTAGCTAGACACTGCAATTTAGCCGGGGTTAAGAGCAACGTCGCCGGAGAAACACTGTCCTTAGGCCCTCCTCGCCGGACAAACACTGTCTTCAGGCCCTCCTCGCCGAATGGTCCCCGTAGAAGATTCCTTCTGAAGCTAATGCGAGTAAGCCCAACCAACTTCAGCACATGGTCAGTGGCCCTGAGTGCGCATGGTAAGCGGCCCTGAATGCTCAAAAGACTACCGCCCCTTCAGGATACGCTTGGTTGATAGGAGGAGTTGTTTACATAAACGATTCGGTGTAAATGATACAAAGGGATAAGGTATAAAATTTTAGCTGTAACTTATAACGCCCCGTGTAACATAGCTAATCCGCTAGACCTAAACTACTTTACTTAACTTTGGACAACTTTCGAAGATGTGGTGATATGCATAATCCCGCCGAACCACGTCCCCCTTCGGTGTTGAAGCTGTGCTAAGTCTACCAGTGTAGGCACTAGGAATGTGTACAGATATCTGAACGCTTCGTATACTTACTATGTACTACTCCGATCTCGCCTCTTCCTCTTTCTCACCCTCCGACAGCCACCTTACTTCAAATACCCACCTTGCTTCATACACTTACCCTTGCTGCCTGCGCGTCCTACAGCGCCTCAAACACCTCGAACGCCATTACCGCTGTGTTCAGCTGTCGCGTGATCGACCGCTACAGGCCATATCGCTCTGCTATGTTAGCTACGTTCTCGATTAGATTACGTGGCTTCTTCGGATTACCTACTAATAGGATTGATATGCCTGCATTCATCCTATTACTCCCCACCATCGCAGTGGGCGCCTGGTTGAATTGGCAGTGGATGGCATTGATGAGATCGAGGCTTTTATAATTTAATTGGTCGATTGAACAGTAGCAGAATGTACTTTAAAGCGAGGAGATGTGGGTGGAATCTGGTAACCACTACTGCTAACCTATGACTAGGCGCCCTGGTAAGGAATTATTGCAAGTTTAACTGCTTATTACGATCGGCCCCCGAGAGATTTTCGTGTACAAAGAAGCGCTATGTGATTGGCCGGCTCTATGAAGCTCCCAATAAGTGGCATACTACCAGGATATTATTAATTCCCGTATGCGGATAACACCTTGTCACGTAAAAAACACCAGATTCTGCACAAAGCCAGCCAAAAAAAAATGACGAATATACGAACCAAGAACGAGCAAAAGTACGAGTTACACTATCGTCCAAAAAAAGACGAGCTCGAACACCATCCAACAGGACCATCCAGACCAGCCAGGCCAGCCAGGCCAGCCAGGCCAGCTCGAAAATTGGCTAGGGAACGATGTGCAGAACTCTTCTTCAGGGCCGCTAGCTAGGCTGTTCAATTCCATATTTTATATGATGTTAAGATTATTGCGCGATTGCTAAACTGCGTAAGCGTGGGTAAATATTCTAGGGATCTTTTCATTAGGAGGTTCAGGGTCCTGCCGTGATACAGGAAACGATCTGGGGTATTACCGACGCTGTAAGATACTGTGAAAGTATGCTACCCCTCGTAGTGAGTTTCTTTTGAAGCCAATGCGAGAAAGCCCAGCCAGTCTGCTTGGGATTCTGAAACGCCAACGCCAACGCCACCGCCGACATAGCAGCATTGGTAAGCGCCTGATGCTTCCTCGACCGCATCTTCTGAATCATCGATGCGAAATGGTCCTCAGTGCATAGCGGGTGGCCGTATGGGCTGAGAAGATTATGGAAGCAAGCCTCAGCCCACCCCGGATTCCTCCTTCTTGGCTGCAGGTGAGCTGGAACCTGGAGAATCCTACATGCATATAGATTGCACTTGAATGTATCGCTATGGTTCGCATTATTATGCCGGTCTAGGGCGCATCGAGATGCACATGCATGCACTGGGATACTGCCGGTTTATACTTATGATAGTAATGGGACAAGCAAGCATGTCATGATAAGCTCATAGAAGCTCATCGTTCCCGGCGACTTTCAAAATAATATCCTATGTCAAGTCCGCCGATATCAAGCACACTGATGCTTGTAAAGTCTCACACCAAGGCACCTCTACCGCATGCGTGCAACCCCACGACTAGATCCTACCGCCACAGCTAACAGGGGCCAGGGTAGGTGTACTGAGCTTCGTCAGCTACCAGGTATTAGATTAAGTGCCGATAGGGGCTTTGCCTCTATTGGTCTCCACGCAAGATACATTGGAAATCACGTATCAGGCCTCCACGGACACGGCAGAGGACGTGAATCCGAAATGATCAAAATTGAGAGGTTCCTTATTTCCAGCATATCCAATTTGTGTAGAATTAGAATGGGTTATAGGAAAAGGGCTGCGCAACTACTTTTTTTTCTTAATAAGCAATTGACGCTACAGTGTGGGCGTGAAGTCATTGATAGAAAGTGAATGAATAACTTGAAATATTTAACGTTGGAAAAGTGAGAAGGGGCGAATTTTAGATGGTTAGCCTCTTGTTCACCCTGGCCCCTGCTGGCGGCGTTGGTACTATGCAAACTCTAGAAGGTATGTATGTGTACTTACGTACCCTCGTCCGAATCCGTACTGCCCTGCATGTGTTCGTGCTGTATGTGATACCCATCGTCCGTGGCCTCGGCTCAACCACGTGCCGGTGCGACCGTCTCCTCTGGCCCACGCGCCCGGTTCATCTGCTTGTTCCCGGCCATGGTGGTCATCCATGGCCGTGTCCCGGAAGTGAAGAGCGTGTCTATTTGCTCAAGCGTCAGTCGGGCAGTTTCCGGCACAATGAAGATGGCAGTGGTCAGGGTAACAATGGTTACTCCAGCGTAAAAGTACCCCACGCTCGTCCCGATGGCTGCAATCATGTAAGGCGTCCAGAACTGTGCCGCAAAGGAGAAAATCGAGGCAAAGGCCTGCGTGTTCGCTTGTCCTTGGGTCCGCAGATGGACCGCATGCACCTCTGCTGACGTCAACCACGAGCTAGCGCTGATTGCCCCTCCAAAGATGAAAGCCCAAATGCACAGGAACGCAACCAGCACCCGTTGCGTGATAGTACTGCCGGTCCCGAGTGCAGATCCCACCGCCGAGAAGATAAGCATTGAGCAAGCAGCAATCGCATACCCATACAGCAGCGAGAGCCGGCGGCCCACGTTGTCCAGGATCCAAGGACTAACCAATGAACCTGCGAAGATGCACACGGATACAATCGCATGCGTCGTGAATGGGCTCGCCACCCCCAAGGACGAGAGAAATAGCGCTGTGTATGGGGCCACGAACTGGATACCGGTAATCTGCAGTGTAACGAGCAGGAATGCAGACACGAGGGTTCGACGCAGATTAGGTGGACGGTAGATGCTGGCCCAAGCCGATGAAGATTTCGTGTGGGTCTCAGCTTCGATGGCTGCTGCAATAATGTCCATTTGCGCAGTGACGGCTTCCGAGTGCTGATCGAGATCATAGAACTTGGCGAGAGCCACCCTAGCATCGTCCTTCTTGCGACGAACAATGAGCCACCGCGGCGAGTCGGGGAAAAACACGAATGTCACCACCAGGACGACGCTGAGGGGTAGCTGGCAGGCGATTGGGACTCTCCACTGCCAGTTGTTGGTTGGACTCAGTCTTGCCGAACCAGCGCAGACTCCGGCAGCTATCGCATTGCCCACCGTCAGAGCGACGTTGTAGATGCCCATCAAGAGCCCGCGCTGATCTGGCGGCGCGCTCTCAGTGCCGTATGTGATGCCCACGACGAAGAGCTGACCAGTACCAGCCGCATTGATGCACTTGCACACCATGTAGTTGAGGTAGCTCTGGGATGTGCCGAGCATCCCCGCGGCGCCTACCGCCACCAGTGCAGCGCCTATCATCACCGTACCACGCCGCCCGACAAACGTGCCTGTGACGCCCGAAAGCGCAGCGCCAAGGGCCTGGAAGAGGGCGCTCACGCTGAGTAGCGACTGCTGTAGTGAACTCAATCTGCACACCTCTATTGCTACACCGCCGACAGCGTCGCGCTGTGTTGTGCAAACAGAGCCGAATGCTTGGTTGAACGAGGGCATTGCAAGCACGATTCCGGAGAAGCCATAGTCGAAGTTGGCGATCCAGGCAATGGCGCAGATGGCTGCCATGAAGCGCCACATGAACGGCGTAATCCGCCGGAGGCTGCTGGGTGGCGGCGCATCATGGTCTGTCGTCAGACGAACCTCCTTTGCCATTGCGGTTTCGCGAAGCCCGTTCTTTATCATCGCCGTGTCTGGAGTCCAGTCTTGCTGTCCGTCTTGCGGAATAGTACCGCAAGCAGGCAAAGTTCAACAACCCATCTTTTATGCATATCAACATCGTATGTGCATACTTTCGATAGTTGGATAGAGTCGATTGTAGCGACGTCGGGCCCCGAACCTTTGGGGCTAGATTTCACGTCGGTGAAGGGCCGTGGCTTCGGTATTCACGGTGTACGGGTCTTACAGTTCGCGATAGGGACCGAGTGGACCACAATATCAAAACCAGAAAAAGTTACCCTTGAGACATATCATAATACTGCATTACTAGACGGCGCGATTCGCGCTTCGTAACATCTCGTTTCCGTACGTGCAGGCGCCAGGCTCCAGTACAGTCGTAGCTTCAGGAGCATGCGCATCTCGCTGCAGAGCATGAAATACTTTGTTATCTAGGAGGCCAGACCATATATATAGTCTATAGATATGTACCCAGGTTTACATGTACAGCTTTTACTTGCGTGTACGAGGATAACGCATACTGACCAAGCTCTCTGCCGATACCGCTCTGCTTGTAACCGCCAAAAGGAACGCCAAAATGCGAATCTTGAGAGCTGTTGATCCAAACCATACCCGCTTCAATACTACCCGCAACACGGTGTCCACGCATGATATCCTTAGTGAATACAGCGGCACCAAGACCGTAGTCAGAATCATTTGCCTTTTCAATTGCCTCCTCTTCTGTCTTGAATGACTGGATGACAACAACAGGACCGAAAATCTCTTCGCGGACAACCTTCATGTCATTGGTAACGTTGGCGAATGCTGTTGGTCCGACAAAATAACCTTTGGAAGGGATGTTGGCTTGATCACCGCCGTAGATCAGCTCAGCGCCTTCAGACTTGGCAATCTGTATGTAGTTTACGATTCTGTCTTGTGCGGCTTTGGAAATCTGTGGACCGTGGTTTACATTGGCGTCAAACTGACTTCCAATGTTGGTGTTCTCCTTTGTGTGATTCTTAAAAGCCTCGAGGAACCTCTCGTAGATTGTGTCCTGAACGTACAGTCTGGAGGTTGAAGTGCAGACTTGCCCCATGCCGCCTGTAGTATAAGTAAGCTTTGGAATTCTTGTAACGTAAATCGACATACCCATAACCCCCATGTGAGACCATCGAACAGCTTGTTCAAGATCGCAGTCATCGAAGACGAGCAAAGGGCTCTTTCCGCCCGTCTCCAAGGTGATGTTTTTGAGGCTTCCCGCCGCCGCTCTCATTATCGCTCTACCAGTCACTGTGCTTCCAGTAAACGCGATCTTGTCGACACCAGGGTGCGCAGGCAAGTGCGCCGCTCCTGCAATTCTACCGTCCCCGTTAACAGTGTTAACAACACCTGGGGGGAATCCAGCTTTCTTGATCAGCGACGCAAGGAACAGAGCGCTCAGAGGTGTTTGTTCAGCCGGCTTTAGCACAACCGTATTACCGCATGCTAATGCTGGTCCCAATTTCCATGCTGCCATCTAAGATCGGTTATTCATTGTCGTTGTCAAAGAGAACAGAAAACTTACCATGATGGGAAAGTTCCAGGGAATGATCTGTCCACAGACGCCTAGGTTGTTTAGCATGCTGATGATATACTTGGATAGCTAAACATACCTAGAGGTTCATGCTTCGTGTAAGCCAGCTTTTCTTTAGAAGTTTCAATTGTTTGACCGTAGACCTTGTCTGCCCAGCCCGCATAGTATCTGAAGACAGAGATTGTCTCGCTAACATCCTCATCCAGAGCTTGTTGATATGGCTTGCCGTTGTCCCAGGCATCTATGGTAGCTAGAATTTGTGCATTCTGCTCACAAAGCTCACCCAGCTTCCAGAGTAACGATCCACGTTCCACTGCTGATATATCGCGCCACTCAGACGATTTGTAGGCTGCACGAGCTGCCGCGACCTCTGAAATGACCGACTCATCATATGGGTTGATGGTCTTTAACGTTTCGCGCGATTTGGCTGCAACGAATTCGTTGTTGATAAAGAGACCTGGGGCAGCTGTGAGTATCATTCAGGCTCAAGTATTATTCGTAGAATGATTGCTTTGCAACTCATGCCATTGTCGTCATGCCAATGCGGATCATGAGAATTTTTTTTAATAATGTGAAGGAAACTCACCAGTGGGCTGTGTCCACTGGACACCATTGGGTGCTGTAAGATTGATTGGTTCGGCCATGATGTGGTGAGAATCGATACAAAGTTGCTTTCAAGGAAGGAAGTGTGCAAAGCGTGATGAACTTTGGATCGGTCACGGATGGGTACAGGCTGGGGCACATTATTTGAATGTTACTTTCAACCTCAGTGGGCTGTTTGCCTACTGCGATAGGAGTAGTTCGAGACGTCTTCGTGATCAACCCCACACCTAGTGACACTGTATTTTTCCTCAGAAAGTTAAACGCTTCACCCCACAGCAGTTACTGTAAGGCGTCGTCCCACTACCCCCGCCTGCGTCCCTAAAGTTGCCAGGATTAGTATGGTCGATTTTCTGGGGTGCGCGTAACGGCAGAAAAACTACTACCGTCCGTGCTCACCCAATGCAACAGTTTGTTACACGGGGTCTGGAGTGCTAATACTTCTCTGGCTCGATCCGGGTTAGGGCGAGTAGGATTGGGGTTAGCGCCGTGAGAGTTGCCTGGCGATTCTTAATGGAAAAGAGTTATGGATGTAACCGGGGGTTTGACAACGCTAATCTATTCAATAGACTAACATGTAA